TCACTTGACTGTGATGCACTAGCATACAATTATTGTGAACTTTGAGTATTGAATCCAGATGACATGAGCTCTGGTGCAGTCACCAATTGAGATGAGGAAGATGAGGAAGCATTAGTCTTATCAGTTTTTACCCTTTATGAGATAAGTCATAAGCCTCAAGGTGTAGAGGCGTAATGTCAGATGAGCACAGTTTATGGCCACTTAATCACACACTTTATTTTTATGAAGGCATATTTGTGAGCTATTCTTTACTAGAAATTGGGGTTAGTGACATGGTAAATGAACTTAAATTTAAATTATATAAGTTTTCTTTGATTGTATCAGCTTCTTCCAGTAAAAGCCTATCTAGTGCTTCCTAGTTCTAGAATCTCCATGGTTCTCACCTATCTTGTCAATAAAGCTATCTATTGTGTCCCATACATCCTCACTCACCCACACACTTTTTTTCTGGTTGGCTCCTTAGAATGTGATTGACCACGTTCTCGCCCTCCCTTTTATTCTCTATTGTCACCCCCATTGCATCGAAATTGTTGATGGATTAAATGGTGTCCAACTTCCTTTTCTGATCGATTATTGATGTGTTTATGTTAATTTGTTTTATAAATTTATTTGTTTATCTCTAATCCTGTGATTATTTATATTATAAACTTATTTTTTTATCTCTAAAAAATATTTGTTTGGTTCCAGGAAAAGAAAAAAATTTAATGACTTTTTTTATGTGGGTTAATGGGTTTGTTGATACTTATGTGTTTAACAAAGTTTTGTTATATTTACATTGTATTTAGAGTGTTAGAGCTTAATTCTCTTGTCTGAATTTAGACAGGTTTCTATTTCTAGATTTATGTTCATCTTTGTGTCACTGGATTTCTTCTTAGTTTTTTTTTCCACATTTCGATTCTTCGCTTAAAACAATTCTGTTAGATGAGACATTAACAGGTAGATGAGAACGACGAAGAGTTGCCTAATTTTTGCAAATTCTATGAGAAGTCTCACAAGTCGAAAAAGACGAATGACTGGATTGATCCCTGATGCGGTGACCTACATGTAAGAATTGAACAATATAATGAGATGGAGACCCTCTTCTACCATATCCGAAGCTGCATCAAGAGCACATGATAAGGAGATAGAGACTCTGATATGTTTTGTTAATTAAGATTTTATTTAATTTAGATTTTAATTGTTGGTTTGGATTGTATATGTATTTGTTGGATTATACTATGTTTATCGATTCTTATTTTCTTTGATATGTACGATTAATAGTTAAGTTTTGTATATGGCTGGAAATTGAATACTACAGGTTGTGGAGAAATATTTTCATTGAATGGTTGAGAATTGAATGAATAAATGAATGGATGAATAATTTTGTATATGCATATGTTATAGGTGGCGCAAAAAAATATTACAGAACAAATTATAAAAGCTAAATGATTCCTTTTGGTGACTAAACAAATATCACAGGTTGACTTTTGGCTACTAAAATTTTAGTCGCCAATTGTCAAAAAGTGAAACTTTTAGCTACTAAACTTTTAGTCGTCAATTGTAAAAAGGAAACTTTTGGCTACTAAATTTTTAGTCGTAAATTCTCAAAAAGTGAAACTTTTGGTTACCAAATTGTTAGTCGCCAAACATACATGCTTAATTGGCTACTAAATAATTTAGTCGCTAAAAGTAAAATATGGCGACTAAAATTTTAGTCGCTGATAGTCACTTTTGGCTACCAAAAATTTTTTTGTCATCAATTGTCTTCGTCGACGAACTATTGGCGACCAAACTAGCGACCAAATATATTAGTCGCCAAAAATGAAATTTCTTGTAGTGGAGGGAGGCGATAGAGAGAGAGAGGAGTAGCGGTTGTGTTTGTGCATGAGTTAACCAAACCCTAAACAGACATATATAAATCGGGGGCTAAACGAAGCGGGGTTGGGGCTGGAGTCGGGCTGGGTCTAAGGCTGGAAAATGTATCACCGTCCCTGGCTCGAATATTATCGGGGATTTATTTTTGAATACCATCATCGGCCCGTAGGGAGTATTTTTCGGGAAAAAACCGCTCAATTCGGGGTCGGGGGGTCGGGTCCCCGTCGAGCCAGGTTCAAATTGCCATCCCTAGTCCTTGTCTTTTCTTTTTTTTTTTGGCTATAATATTTGCAAATGTAATAATTAAGTAATTATTCATTCGGTGATATAATAAGTAGTTAATTACGAGATTCAGACGCTTTTGTAAGATGACAAATTTGTAATAGTTAATAAATATCTTCCAACCCCTATTTATTTCTCTCTTTTATTTACATGCTTATTATCGCTGTTTATAGCATCATGTTTTTGTTTCATATCGTTCCTATGCCTCGCATCCATTTTTGCACGCATTAAAGTTCGGCTCATCATACATGATGTTGCTATCATTTCCTACTTGACTATGTGCGCTACCTCATGCTTTGAGTTGCTTCACATGCCATGTTAGTAGCTGAATCTAGCAATTGAATTTTGTATGTATTGCATTAGTCATGTGCATTTTTAGGATCATGCATTTTTCTAATCATCTTTTTTTCTTTGGCTTGCCGCGGATGAATACTATGTGAGTATTTTTTACTTTAGCATATCATACGTGTGTGTATTACCATGTTGGGTATATTACCATGAGGCTATTTGCTTACTTGAAATAATCTATGAATGCTTGTGGATGGAGACTATTTTGCTTAAATTGGAATGGCTTTGATTGTTGTACATATGAGCTCACTTTTTCTTTGAGTTGCACATATTAAAAAGCATGAAATCAAAACATTCCAAAGTAAGTGACACGGTCTATACTTGTTTGCCTCACATAGTAATGTTATCATATTAATAAATCAGAATATGAGTATATAATATCTATAAAATTCACATCATGATTTAGTAAAGGCCGATCTTTGATCGGGTGAGTGTGGTGCTCAATTCATGACATTCCCCTCTCATACCTAAGTTCCCGAATCGAAACAACTTTGGTTATGATGGACAAGTGGCCTTTGGCATGAGTCACGGGTTTCCTAATTCTCCCAAAAAATATTAGGTGGTGACTCTGAAATCTGACAATGCAGTCCATTTTTGGCATCTCTTGCAATTAGTGGATTTTTCTAGGATTTGCTGGATTTGAACTCTCATTTTCTTTTGTTTCGCATTGCACTCGTGAACCAAATTCAGAATCACGGGATTTTGAACTATAGGGAATTGCATTCGATGAGACTAAATTCCTTCGAGGAGCGCGAAAAACTAGCTACAGCAACACTCAGAGCCACTTTTAGCCAAGCTGAACTCGGTTCAGTATGTGAACCTTACCCATGGGACCATCGTCGTGCTACTACTCAAAGCCTGACTGCACAATTAGCTCGGTCAGAGAAATGCAATGGCAACCACCAATGGTGGAATTAGCTCAATCCTTTTTGTTCAGTACAAATTTCCCTCTCAATTATCATCACTACTTCAAAAACAGTTAAAGATCACACTTTGACAAATGAAAATATCTCACTTTTATTGGAAGTGTGATAAAAAAAAAATAGATTGATATTTTAATCACACTTGATTTGATTAAGTGTGATAATATTTATTTTTTATATCACTTTTCAATTAAGTGTGATTATATATATATATTTTTTTAATCACACATTCTAATTAACATGTGATTAAAAATAACATAAGAAGAATTAAAAACATCTCACTTTTATTAGAAGTGTGATTAAAAAATTATTTAATTTTTTAAATCACACTTAGGCCAAGTTTGGCATCCCCTATATAATCCATCTTTTTATCTTTTTTCCATCACATCACCTCTCTACTTTTCTGCACATCTTTTCGTAAAAAGACAAAAAATATACTTATTTAGATCATCCTAAACTGAATTTTAATTTAATGAGTGAGATAATATTTTTTTAATTACACATTTTAAATAAGTGTGAATATTTATTTTATTACTCTCTCACATAAACAATCAATTCCCCAATTAAACGCTAACACACCACCCCCTCATCTCATCGTATACAACATTTGTCTCACACTCGTCTCTTGCTCTTTCACTACGCTGCACTCATCTCTTGCTCTTCCACTACGCCGATCGCCATCGCAATCGCCGTCACCTCTAGTAGCCTTGCCGATCGCCACCGTCGCTAGTAGCCTTGCTGATAGCCGTCATATCTTCTCTGCTCACTAAAGTTTTGATAACAACTCTGTGAGTTTTGCTATGTTTTTTTTTTTTTAGTTTTCTTGTTTTATAGATTTTGGTAGATTTTCCCTTTCTCCTTCTCATTTTGGTAGATTTTGCTTCTCATTTGCATTCCTATTTGATTCTGTTTACTCTATGTGAGCCTTTTGATAATGGTTGGCCCCTGGTTTTACTTTCTCTTATTCTCTGTTTATGGAGTAAATTTCGTTTTTTTTAAAGTAAAATTTTGAGTATACTGGAGATGCCTAACACAAGTAGTTGGCTCATCTGAGCAGATCAAGTTTTTCCTGCTATCAAAGCAGATCGAGCAAAATGAAAAAATTACCCATTTCAATATGCCCAGCCAGAAATTTTCCATATGCCTATAAATTTACTGGTTTAGACAAGAAAGTGACTCAGTGGAAGCTTGGCTTGCATCAAATTGGTTTGTAACTGCTGTAAAACTGATTCTTCAGTAAAATTATTCTATTTTTTATTTTTTTGTTATTGTGGTACTGCACTGTTCACTTCACTTTTTTTGCTTCTTTAACACCACTGCGAAGTGTTATTATAAGTAATCCTAAATTGGATTGTGGATAACATTGCCCTTAAGTAGTTTCTACTTGTCAATAATTTATAAATACGTAGATGCATCTTTTGAAGTATCAAAAGGATACCTCAGGGCATATTGAATTGCCATATGGGTGCCAAAATACTAAACTAGGAGTGTCTTTTTTACATTTGAATTCACCACCAGTATTCTAATGCATATTCTATTAGGGTGATTTTATTGTTGGTAATAATCTTTTCGTTGACTTCCGTTCTTCTTAACATGACTGGTGAAATTTGGGAAGTAGGTTTGGATGTTATACGCACCGACGGTGCTCTTGTCTTTTATGAGAGTGAAGCCAATCAGACAAAACTTTGGAACATTCTTGCCATTTATGCTTGGGTTGATAATTCTATTGGATATGTTCAAGGTGAGTTCCCCTGAATCCAAGGACAGTTATGCTGAAACTGTTTTATGTTTAGGTATTTTCAATGGTTTTCACACTTTTTTCCTTGGACAAGAATGAATGATATTTGCTCTCCAATGGTTATTCTTATGGAAAACAAAGCAGACACCTTTTGGTGTTTTGAGCGGGCAATGCGCAGATTGGTACGCATCTATTTTCATTATCAAAGGTGACATTGTTATTAAAACTAATAATGTGACCCAACTGCCTACTTTATTTAATTGCTCCTTCATTCTTGAATGTAGAATTAATCTGTTTTAGTGAAAAGCAGTTACTTGAGTTAGTTGGGTTTGGTATTTAGTGAATTCCAGTGGGATGGGTATACTTTTTTGGCCTTTTGGTTTCAATTTTTGGGATATCAGCATTATTGCATAGGTAGTTCCTGAACACCTGGAGTGTAGAAATCCTACTATCTGATAGTAGTTGTTTCTCCATAGGGCAGAATAGTCAAATGAAATCAGGCCATGCATGCAATTAGTAGGACTAAGGTTTTGTTGGGTAGAATTGTTAACTTCAGCTCTGATTTCTAGCTTTTTGCTGACAGGCCAAGTGGGTGACAAACTCTTAGGGGAATGCCTCACATTTTTCCAGGTTGTAGTTGGTTTACATGTATGCAGTAATTAGGGCACTTTGAAGGTTCATTAGTTTTTTTTACTACAGACCCTGACTACTCAAGTATATCACATTTACCAAACATGTTATTTAGGACAGGGTTACCTGATTTTGTTACTTTTCCTCTCAAAGTTGCATCTTAATTTCTTAACTGTAAGTCATAGTGCTTTTCATCTTTCAGACTTTTTCTTGGGTTTAGGACTCATTTCCCTGCTTTTGTTTGAAAAAGAGAAAATTTCAAGTCCAATGCGCATTCTATAGGGGTGCAGTCTCAGTTGAGTACACTTGCAGGAATAATGAAAGCTGTTGATCCAAAGCTTCATCAACACCTTGGTATGGCTGATCCTGCTAGAAGTAAGTTTTAGTTTTTGTTTCAGTGGGATGTACTATGTAGAGAATTTTGACAGCAGGATTGTTTTACTTGTATCTCCACTATTTGAGGATGTTATTTTGGGTCTATTTGGTTATCACTTATAAGTTAACTTTTATGATTATAATTTTTTTTTTTAGATTATAAGCTTAATTGTTGTAAATCAGTTTGGTGTAGCTTTTAATAATTTGTTATAGAAGTTAAACATGTTTGGTTAAATAAGATGTTACATAACTTTTTGTTATGCAAATATCTAGAATGACCTCGAAAGTTATAATTACGATAAAAGAGATAGGACTTTTATGTCCATACATGTTTAAGTGCCCATGCTACTTAGGTTCCCCACAATCACATTGCTCTCTATCTGTATGTAACTCAGCAATTGATTTTTCTTCGAAATCATGGTCTATCTGGCCTATTTTATTTTGTAGCCTGCACCAAAGTTATCCTGCACCTGCAACACACTTTTAAGCCAACATGTTTGTCATTAAAAAAATATTATGGCAGGGAAACAATGAAGCTGGCAGAATTGTCTGCAAGTGATATACTAGAGGGCTTCCGTGGGTCAAAAGAGGTAATGTCTTCTTCATATAAATTGACAACTATGAATAATCTAAAATCAGATAGTGTATCATTTAAGATGAATCAAGTGGTATCTCAGAGATTCTTGGTTTAGTAGTTCTAAGTGTTCAGCTATTTGATTTTCTTTTGATAATGGAATGTGCAAGTGTTGGTAGTTGTCTTTCTCATGCTTTAATGACATAGTTTGTTTTATGCATGCATCCCTTTCTTTATTGGACTTCTTGTGAAGTATGCAGTTTTCATTAGTTAATTACACATGTGTATAATAGTATGATAACTACAGTTAGATATTTGCTTCTTCTTTTTTTCTTCTCTCTCCCTCTTTTATTTTTATTTATTTTTATTTTTTATGGTACCATTCGTTTTGCAAGCATGACTACGAGTCGACAAGTCTTGCTCATTTTGACAGTTACATGAATTAATTTATCAGTATGGAGGAGCAGAAGACCCCACCTTAGATGATGAAGAATGGTCGCAGATATCTAAAATGTACTCGAGATATTTGCACAATCAACATTCAATTGCATTTCTTTTGTAGAACATTAAATATTTGAGATGGATAGAGCCTTTTAAACTAAGTTGTTGGTTATAGTTAAATTTCTCTTGAACTTGCAATTTCTGTGGGTAAAGTGACATTTTGGTTTTACATGCTTCATGTCATGCTAGAGGTATTTAATGTTAAGACATTTAAAGTGGTGTGATCAGTCGGACTTTATCTTTTGTAAGACTAGAACAATCTCTACTGATAGTTAATTTATTCATATGCTTCTAGCGGTTTCTAAATTAATTCGTGTTTTCATTTTTCAGGTCAGAAATTTCTTGGAGAGATGCAAAATATGGTCAAATAATTCAAGAACTTAGTTTTTCAAGTTTTTTCATTTTTTAATAAATGTAAGCACAGTTTAAATTTTTTTATTTAATTCCTTTGTATATACTTTTGAACATATTTAACTTTCATTTATGAATATATGATGTCATTCCATTCAATATTTGGTTGTGATTCAAAGTATAGTATATAGTGTGTATTACATCCTTCAAATGCGCGTACAAAAATAATATTGATTATTCTTCAAATATGTCGAACCCTTTTTTCATCACACGCATTAACTGTGATAAGAAATACATATAACGTGTGATCTTATCTCATTATTAATCACAGGTTTTATTAGGTATTAATCACACTTAAAAGATGTGATCTAAATGTTTATTATCACATGTTTTATTAGTTATTAATTAAACTTAAAAGATGTGATCTAAAGTTTATTATCACATGTTTTATTAGTTATAATCATACTTAAAATATGTGATCTAATTGTTATTAATCACACTTAAAAGATGTTATCTAAATATTTATTATCATATGTTTCATTAGTTTTTAATCACACTTAAAAGATGTGATCTAAATGTTATTAATCACACTTAAAAAGTGTGATTAAAAATGACCCTTTTTAATTACACTCCCAAAGATCACACTTTGACAAAACTTAAAAAGTGTGATCAAATAACAAAGATCACACAAAAAAAGTGTGATCTTTATCTGTTTTTGTAGTAGTGCATGAGTAAAGAAATTATTGAGGAGAAAATTTAGAAATGAGTTATGGTAGATGTTGAGAAGTAGTTTGGAAATACTCTTCTGATCTTGGGGAACGCTCGTGATCCTCTTCTGGTCACCTGAAAAGGAATAAACACTCCGATCGGGGGTGCCGAAATTAGCACTCCGACGAACAAGTTAATATCCACACTCAAGGATGCTTGTTTTCTAAGTTAAGCACTACAATTCTCACATATCTCTTTCTGGCTGATGTTTCTTCTATTTATATCTTTTCTTCTTTGGGTCTCGGGATCAGATCCATTCCCTACCTCATATTCGGCACATTTTACAATGGACCAATCTTCACTCGGCCCCTTGCTTAATCGGTTATTTGGCCGAGTAGGGTTGGATTTGAGCTTTCGAACCAATTGCCAAGTGCTTCGAACCTCGACTCTCCCAGATTCGTCTATCTAGAATTTCTACGACTCCCGAATCTCGGCCCCCACAATTGCCCCCCAAACACTCCACTAACGGCAATTGGCTGGAGTGTTTGGCTTTGAACTCAAAGAGTCAGAGCCGCACTTCGGCGACTGACTATATTCCAACGCAAATGTCTGTACACACGCTCCTTGGTTATCATTTCAACTTCTCGCCTCTTCGTACACTTCTATTTATTGTAATTTGAAATTTCGACATCTTTTCAAATGCACACACGCTTTTAGACGCCCGTCGCTGGACTGCCATTCGAACTACCTCTACAACTTCCTACTCCTCTATCTCCTTCGCCTCTTGTAAGTTCTCTCATTCTCTGCTTTGTTTTTTAGCTTAGCATAATCCTATTGGCTGGGGGGAATGGCAAAACATTTAAAAGATCTCCTCTCACCGGATCGAATTTCTGGCTTCCGACGCCATTTTTCCATTCCTGATGACGTCCGTCTGTCATTTGTGGCAGACGGCACCCTTGATATGGAGAGGGTTGATGAAACCACGATCGTCTTCCCTCTTCTATCAATCGCAGAGGGTGGGGTCTGTTTCCCCCTTCACCCACTCCTTAGGGCCGTGCTTTGCCACTGGGGTTAATCCCTTCCCAACCCAACGTCAACTTCTTTAGGGTCGTGATGGGGATTATCACACTAAACAACCGCCTTGGGCTTAACCTTGGCATTCCCGCTATTCGACATTGCTACGCCTTGGCCAAGTCTTCTGGTCGGCACGGGCATTATTTCCTCAGGGCCAAAGACACCGACCATCAACTAGTGACTATGCTTTCTAGCTCTGGGAAGCGAGTCGATGATGTTATGGTCGTCGTCCAAGGAAACTGGGAATTCGGCGAAGGCGAGGATCGCCTTGATCGCATTCCTAGATGGAGGGGCGAACTAGGTGGCCGAGTATCTTCTTTTATTTATTTACTTCTTGTATTTATAAAACTTTGTTTTCGGGACCTCATGGTTTTGCTTTTGCAGGAAACCATTTGAAGAAAGTCTTGGCCTCAACCGACGACGCCGTCCTTTTAGAAATCAGGACTGCGCTTAAGTATTTCGGCCGACCCAGTCTTCAGAAGCAGGGGAGAGCGGCCCACGTTCTGCTCCGCTACGAGCCAACTTATATGACCTTTTCGGCGGCGAAAAAAATCCCAATTCCGATCGGTGAGGAGTTTCTTGTCGCCCGTATCTTGACTGACTTCAAAAATTTGAGGCGAGTCGGCTGCGAGGAATCAGATTCGGAGTGATCGGAAGTAGCTAAGGCCGCTGAATCAGATGAAGCTGAAACAGAGGTTAATGAGGCTTTGAAATTAGAATTTGAGGAAGCCGGCCTCAATTCGGCTGATAATCTGTCCACTTCGGGTCAAGAGAACCGTCCACTTGACGATATTTTTCACGGTCTGAAGGACCTTCCCGGCGCTTTCCCAGAAGATATGGCTAGGTTGAGCCTCACTAAACTTGCCAAGAAGGTGAACGCGGAAAGGATGGCCGCGCGGCGAAGAGCGGAGGAGATTCGGGCTGCCGAATCTCAATCTCAGTCTCAGTCCTCCCTGCCCGTTATTGAGGAAGTGACGGCAAAAGGAGGAAGCACCGAAACGGAACCCTCGGTGCAGGCTAGTGTAGAAGCTGAGCAAAGGGTGGAGA